CACGTTTCAGAGAGTGTACATCGACGAGTGTAACTGCGAGATTCCACCTTTGAAATTCCCACGCAGCAACAGCTTTCCCGATCTTCGAGATTTGCTCTACTGTTCGAGAGAGAAGGACAAACTGTGCGGCAGACCTCGACGTCGTGCCAACAGCGAAGTGGTGCCGACAGTAAGTCTCGAGATCTCTCTGTCTGTCTGTCTGTCTGTCTGTCTGTCTGTCACACATACGTTTGTTCGATCGTTCGACAGGGAGATGAAATAACGCGAGTCGTTTCCGAGACCGATCTGCAAAGAATCGACAAAACAGCAACGTTCGCGACGCACGCGATGGTTCAGCCGGCGGAGCTGTTGGCGAGATTGGTCGACATTCTTGGTTACATACCGCCAGTCGCGGAAGATGGGACTGGAGCCGATAATTCGAATCAGACTACGTTCGTCAACAACCAAGATATCGGATATCGCGGTGGTGACAACAAACTCGAAGAGAACAGCAGCAAAGAATACTCGCGAAAAGAGTCGTACACCGGATCGGGAGTTCGAACGATCGGTCGTGAAGGAACAACACCAGCGTTCAGAGGCTTTGGCAAACCTCGTTCAAGAGCGACCAGCGAGATCAAACTGTACGAAACGAGGAACGAAGATCGAAACGTCGAACGAACTTGGTCCGGTCCGACAGCGGCTGAAAGAGTCGGAGAACTAACGAAATCACGAACAAGCGAATCGTCCGACAGACGAGAACAACACGGCGAGAAAGAAGGAAAATTTTCAAAGCTTCGTAAATTCGCGCTAACACGATCCATTTCCAAAGCTGCGGTCTCGTCCGCTCCTCGGAGAGGTCGTTTCTCCACGAGCTCGACGGGGAAGAGGAACTCGGGGAAGGAATCGGATCGCGAGATCAACGGACAACGACGGACGTTCGCGTCGGAATGCGAGTCGATCGACGACAGACGAGATTCCCAATCCATTTGGAATCCACCGCGAAGACATTATTACACGCATACCGGCGGCGCAGAGAGCAGCTGCGATCCGAACGACGCAGAAACTACGAACAACTTGCCGGAGGAAACCAGCTTGGCCGACCTTTTAAGAGCTCTCACCGTTCTTCATCGCGCGAGAAGCGTCGCCGCGTCCAACAGCAGCCGGACCTCGGTCGCCAACGCGGACCACCATCCGACGTTTCTCCGACGCGATCAACCTCGGAGAAAGATGGGTATCGCTTCTTCGACACCGCCGAAACTTCCCAGTTTGTTCACGTTATTTTCACCTTCTTCCACGCCTACGTCGACGACTCGAGGTGACAACGAGAGCACGGCTACGCAAGAATCTCGCTCGAACGAGAACAACAAGCCAGCCTCGTCTCGGAATCGGCGAGATTCGAGAAGAGGTTCGAGTTCGGTGTTCGTCGCACCCACGAGCACCAAGTCGAGAAGATTTTCCTCGAGACCGGTAGCCACGCCCGTTGGTCCTCCGACGCCTCCGAAAAATGACTCGCCGCACTTGTCGGTAAGCGTCAAAACCTGGATCCACGGTCCACGATCGACTCGGATCGTCGTCGTCGTCGTCGTTCCCTCGTTTCTAACGAGGCGACGTTGCATCACGTTCATCACGCCACTCGCATTCGCCTTTTTCTCTTCTTTTCTTCTCTTCCTTTTCCAGGATTCGCGACGAACGCCACAGGTACGCAACAGATCGTCGTCGTTTTTGTTCGAATCGCCGAAAGAACCACTCGTCCGAACGGAGAGAGTGCCAGGCCGTTCAACGCCGATAAAGAAATCATCGTGCCCGAACGATCGACGTTTCTCGTTGCGACCTACCCAAAGTCCAAACATCGCATCTTCGTCGAAGGCTACACCTCGTTGGAAAGCCGGCATGCCGCAACGACAAATCGGTCAAACGAATCCTCGACGTCGAGCCAGAGCCTTCAGTTTGAGCGACGTTCACGCCGAAGATCCGAAAGAGAGAACGACAAGCGAACGACAACCACCTTTCGATCCGTCGTCCGATATTCGCGACAAACGCGGTGACGGCAACGCGAAAGACCGCCGCAGAGACAACGTTTCCCCAAACGAGTCCGAGGATTCGAGAAACAACGACGAATCTGCGAGAAATTCCACCTTTGTCGAAAATTCCGATCCGACAGTTCCGTTTTCGACACTCGGCCGAGAAAGCGCCGCTCGCGCGACAAATTCCGTTCGGCTCGAAGAAAAAACCGCGCAAATCGTCGAGCCAGACGACACGAGCGAATCGATCGCAGACGCAATCGTCGCAAAGACCGCAAGTATCGGTATCGATCGTTCGAACGAACGTGCGTTTCGTCCCCGTCGGTCAGGCGACGACAGACACGGAGAAGAAGAATTCGTTTCGTCCGATACGAAGGAACAAACATGGTCGAAGGATTTTTCCACCGCTGTCGACTTTGCTCCCGACTGCAACGTACTCGTCGACGTCGACGCGAAATCGCAGGAATCGTTGACGGAAGTAAAAATAGAAAATCCCGGTACGAACGGTCGTTCGTAACTCTTCCGCAGCCTTCGATTCGCTTTCAGGATCAAAGACCGGGAACCACGGATCGCGCTCGCCTCTTAACAACAGACGCGACACTCGGCAAGAAGCACGAAACTCGGTATATCCGCGATAATTTTGCAACAACGATGCTTCTCAAACGCGCAAAGTGTCAAACGCGACACGATTACCAACGAACAAAGAGATATTCACACGCGTTGCGCAAAAAGCGACGTCACGCCCCCGTTGTTTCTCGAATGCCGTCGCTTTCTCTTTCGCTCTCAATTTCACGCAAAGACGAAGGATCGGATCGCTCGGAGAGCAACGGAGCAAGAAGGAAAGAAAGAAAAGGAGACGAGAGACGAAAGAGTCTTCCGTCTCGTCTCTTCACATCGTCGCGACGACACCGACAAGAGTCGAGAATTTCTTTCGAGCGTTCCGAAAGTCCCACAGCGGATCGTCGTTTTCCGTTTTTTTTTTTTTCTTTCTTTCGCCTTTTCCTTCCACTTGGAACGCGAGTCAGAAGATAGAATCACGGTCGAGCGATTTCCAAGAGAGACGAGACATCGCGCAACGATACGATTCTCAACTTACACGGTACGTTCGACATCCACGTACGTACTACCTTTATTCGATCGTTCGACGATCAAACGACAAATTAATCACGCACGATCGAGTTTACACAGGAACGCAAAATTCTTTCGCTCCGTTCGCTCGCGTCGAAGCGTCGTCGCGCAACGCAGAACAAAGGTAAAAAATTACGCTCGACGACGAACGGACGAACGTAGGATCGCAGAATCACCGCGTCAGGCACGGTACCGTATTCAACCATATAGATCAACAGTGGAAGCGATCCGTTGTATATGTGCGCAGCCTTCACAGCCTTTTCCTTATCTCTTCGATCAAAGAGGCTCGCGGAACGGAAAGTTCGGCACGCGACGCAACGTCCCTCAACGTGACCTCTCCTCTAGCCAGTTCTGCTTCGCCGATTATCACGACCAACGGTATTCCGGTTTCCTCGCAATGCTGCAATTGCGCGAGCAACTTTACGTTTCTCTTGTAAGATTGTTCAGCTTTCACACCGGCGTCCCAAAGAATCGACAAAAGTTTCATTCGTTCCTCGTGCAAATTTTTTTGCGCAGTCGCTACGAATACCTCGACCTCGGTAGTTCGCGTTTTCACTCCTCTCCGGTTCAACCTTGTCTCGAGAACGTTGAAGATTCGCTCGACACCCAACGACAGACCGACGCAGGGAATCGACTTGTTCCTGTTGTCGAACATTCCGACCAAATTGTCGTAACGACCACCGCCCGCAACGCTGCCAACGCCAACGTCGTCACCTGCGGGAAAAGAAAAAAAACGAAACGAAACGAAACGAGACTGCGTTTTCAAGCGAGAAACTCCGACAAACTCACCGGTCAGTATCGCCTCGAATATCACACCCGTGTAATAATCGAGCCCCCTGGCAAGACTGAGATCGAAAATTATCTCGTCCGCGACTCGCAGCAGGTCGCAGTACTGGAACAACAATTCCACGGATTCCAGCCCTTTTACCGCGGACTCGTATCTCGTCAGTCGGTCGTCGGCCCTCAATTTCGAGATCAATTCCGTTCCACCGGACTGCGAGACGTAAGCGCCAATTTCGTCGGCGCTGGATTCGTCGAGGCCTTTCTCCTCGATCATCTCCCTTCTGACTTCGGACCAGGGATTCTTATCCAACTTGTCGACGGCTGAACACACGGCGCGAAACTTGTCGCTGGGAACGCCACAAGCGGCGAAGATACCGTCCAACAGCGATCTGTGATTCAATCTGATCGCGTAAGGTCCCACGTCGAGAGATCGCAACGCCTCGGAAACGATACGAATACATTCCGCGTCCGGTATCATGGGGTCGTACCGTCCAGCTATGTCGAAATCCTTCGACACAGAGACACGCGATATGATTTATCGGACGTCGGTCATACGTGGTACACGATCACGATCAGAGGAGACGACGACGTTGGTCGTCGAGAGACTTACGCATTGGTAGAATTCTCTGTATCTAGCCCTGGTCGTGGACGGATTGTCCCTTCGGTAAACTTTCGCTATGTGATACCTCTTGGCGGAAGAGATCTTCCCCATTGCCAGGTATCTGGCAAACGGTACGGTCAAGTCGTACCTCAGCGATAAAATCTCTCCACCTTGGTCCTTGAGGTCGTAGATGAGTTTCGAGTCTTCGCCGTACTTTCCCGTCAAGACTGCCTGAGTCGAGAACGAAACTTTCACTCGAGGTAATCGGACGAAACGACGAAGTTTACTCACTTTCCGTTCGAAGACGGGAGTATCTATAGTTTCGGCGCCGTGCTTCTTGAACACGGTCACTATTTTATCCAGTACCGCGAGTCGAAGCGCCATTTGTTCAGGGCCGTAGTCTCGCGTACCTTTCGGCGTTTTGAGAAGAAGCTGCTGCTGCTGGTGCTGCTTGGAAGGTGCCGCCGCCGCTGCCGCTTCGCCGTTCTTCTCTGGCAATCGAGCTTTCAACTCCAACATTTTGGAAACTTCCTCCGCGATCTACGTGAAACGGAAGACGAGTCACAATCGTTTCGAGTCGCAACGTCGCGCAGGTTTTACGAAAGGAAAAAACGTTAGAGGGAAAAGAGGCAGTCTTCCTCGCTCGTGGAGGAGAGGAGAAAGAAAAGTGCCCGCGTACTTCGCATACCTTGAGCCTCGAAAGCATCGACGCGTCGCAATATTTTCGCGCGGGTAGAAAGGCGGCCACGTTGGTGCACGTGGAACGCAACATCCAGAGTGATTCGCGAAAGAAGCAGAGTCAAAGAGAAAAGTCCGCCTCGACGTCGTCGATCGT